CATCTAAGTCAGATTCTTAAGGGGCAACATGAGTATCTGTATCATAAATAGTGTACAGAGTGTTGGGACCACTGGAAAAAAAAACTCTTCCTCTCCAAAAAATACACGAGATAATATTTTTTGAGCATTTATTATGTGCCCAGTACTTTACAGTATCATCTTATTTATTTTCTATAGTGAGCAGTGAATAGTATTTGGCTCCATTTCATAGGTATAAAAAGTAAGGTTCAGAGAGAGTAAGTTGCTTGATCATGAGATGGAGCCTGGCTTTGAAAGGTTTGCTCCCGCTTGAAATCAAATCAAGCCATTTTTCTACCTATTGCCTCCAGGGTTATATACAAAATATAAACCCTCTCGATGAGCTGGAAACTGCCGGTGACCCGCAAAGAACTGGGGGATGAAGAGAATGGTGAATTCCCAGGGCAGGTGATCAGGGAGCATGAACCCTCCAGAGAATCGTTCTCATTCTCAGGCTCAGTCCTTCTGCTTTCTGCTGCATATTTCGACTTAGCTGTCACTTTCTCTGGGCAGCATCCACTCACCCCCAAACTTGGGACAGATGCTTCTGCTCCAGGCTTCTAAGGTCCCTTGTATCTTATCGGCTGCAGCTACTTTTTTACGTGGAAAACTCCATATGGTTAGAGCCATTTCTAACTCTCTGTCAACATCTGCCCAGAACAGTGCCTGCCACATATGAATACTCAATCAGGACTACAGTGCGGAGGTGAAGAGGGAGGGAGGGAGGGTGGGACTTCGCTGAAGCTTGAAATGGCATCATGCAGATATGGGAGAGGTAAAGAACTGGAAGCCAGGAAACCACATGAATAAGTTATTCGACCTTAGGCAAGTTCATTTTGGGGGGCCTGAAAATGAGGACAACAGCACCTTCCTCATAGGTTTAAATTAAAGCATGATCCCACCTTAAATGTACTTCTCTACACTCTCTCTCCCTAGATCTCATCCACTCTGGCCGGCTTCTAAATGCTGACAAGTCCCACATTTGTATCTCCAGCCAAGACTCCCTGTCCCCCCAGGTTTCAATGTCTTGAAAATCTCCAAGACAGCATTTGAATTTTTTCCTCTAGCTTCAACTTGCTCCTCCACTCTGTGGTTGGTGGTCCCATTTACCCAATCTTTTTTCTTTTATGATTGAGGTGAAATTTATATAACATAATAGTAACCATTTTAAAGTGTACAATTCAGTGGCATTTAATATATTCACAATGTTGTGCAATATCACATCTATCTGACTACGAAACACTTTCATCCCCCCAGTAGAAAACCACTTATTCTTTAAGCAGTCATGTGCCATCTATCCTTTCTCCCCAAGCCACTGGTAAGCACACACACACACACACACACACACACAACCCACTAACCTGTTTTCTGTTTCTATGGATCTGCCTATTCTAGATATTCATATAAATGGAATCATATGCTATGTGATCTTTTGTATCTGGCTTCTTTCACATAGAATGATTTCAACATTCACTCACATTGTAGCATATATCAGCACTTCATTCCTTTTTATGACTGAGTATTATTCCATTGTTAGTACGTACCACATTTTCTTTATCCATTCATCTAGTGTGGATACCCTGGCATCTAATCTTAAAATATAAGCCTGATCCTTGACCCTTTCCTTTACTGTATTCCCCATACCTAATATATCAAGTCCTGTACATTTTACATCTGAAATATAGCTCCAATCCTACTTTTCCCCAATACCACTGCTATCGTGAAGCCAGGACACCAACATCTCTCACCTAACTCCTAATTTTTGACAAGGTCCCATTCTTCTCTCTATTCCACTTTTCAGCTGGTAACTGCAGAAACTATCTCATCCATTCACTTCAGCAATATTTACTGAGCACTATTCTCAGTAAACATTCTCCATGGGGCTTGCCTCCTAGAAGCATGACGGGCAACAAAAAAATCCATACTATAACGCCAGGTCATTACTCAGCTAAAATCCTTCAATGATTGTTCATTGCACTTTGAGGGAAATCCAAGCTCAGCATGGCCTTCCCAACTCAACTCAAGCTGCTCCCCAGTCATGCTGAGCTCCATTCCTCCACTGCAGGGTCCTTGAACAAGCTGTTCTCTCTGCCTCATCCCTCAGATCTCAGTGTAAATATTGCTCCTTAGGCTGATCTTCCCTGGCCACTCTGTTCAGCAGATTCACCCTTCATTCATTTCAGTCATTCAAGAAATTTGTGTTAAGCATTGTGCTGGGCCCTTGGGAATGAAGCCACGTATGAACTCCTGGAGCTTTCAGAACAGTGGGGAGGACCAAAAATGGATAGACAAGTGCGACGAAGGGAGGGTAAAAGGGAGGGGACCTGCTTTACACAGGGTGGTCCAAAAGGCCTTTCTAAGGACGTTATATTGAAACTGGAGGATGAGAAAGACTCGGCTGGGAAAAGGCCCTATCACTCTTCATCATATCCTGGCTATGCAATGCAATGCAATGCAATGGTGCGTCCTGCAATGTTTGCTTTTGAAGAAGCATAGCACTTAATGTCTGTCTCCTGTAATAGACTGCACTGCATTTCCAGCACCCAGGGCAGCAAACACCATTTAGGAGGCCTTCAATACTCATTGATTCAATTAACAATCGGGTAAAAAAAATGAATGACTAAATCCACCAATGAAATCACTTCCAGAAGCATAATAAATCATATAGTTTTGATATTTGTTGTCATTCATTCTCTGTTGGGTTTTGGAAAACTAAGTTGACTGTAAAATGAGAATAAAAGTGCCTAATTTGGAAGATTACTGGATAACTAGGAGAGAATGAATAGATATATCAGGAACTCAATAACAGGCAACAAGAGTCATTGGGGCTATTATTAACGGTTCCATCTTTACAAAAGCTGATTTACTCAACTCAAACTCCAAAACCCATTTTCAGATACAGTCAAGAAGTTAAAAGATAAAAAAAAAAAAAAAATGAACACTTTGAAAATGCCTGCACTGCATTAGGCACACTGCAAAGCCCTTTCTGTCATAGTGATATTCATTTTGCAAGCCCATCCTCCCAGATGCCTGTCCTGGTTCAGCTCTCAATCCCACCTGAGACCAAGGCACCTCTTACTCCCTCAGCTGCAGGCAGTATTGTCTTCTCACAGTTCACAGCTGAGTCTCTTCCTCTTCAGGAACTGTCCTGCTGAAGGGGCATCCAAAGTTGTGCCCCCTCCCTGGGGACAGCTTGCACCCACATGGAGCTTTCAAAGGCTTGGCCCCATGCCTAAAGGGACCAATGGAGACCTCTCTTGCACTCCGTCACAGATCGACCTCTCCCTCTGCCCAGTTCTGCTTCCCTCCCCCATCTCCCTCTTTCATCCTCAGAGTAAGACCACTAACCAGGAATCCCTACACACAAGTCTCAGAGTTTCTGATTGTGTTTTTAGGGAACCAGACCTATGGCAGGTGGGTATGATGATTTCCTTTTACATCAGAACACTGAGGTTCAGAAAGGTTGATAATGTCCCTGGGCACATAGCTCAAGTGACTTTCTGGTATGACTCCCCAGCAGACCTTGCTCTTTACCACAGCCTCTAATAGCTGAGGCTGTGTCGCTGTGAGACAGAAAGAAGAGCCATGGAGAAGAGAAGGCCAGCAGATCTGAAAACGGGAGCAGGCATACCCTTCGCTTCCCTCCAGGGGTCATTCCTAATGACAAAGTTGAGGTCAAAGCTTCCAGAAACAATGATTAAAAATGACCTGCAGAAGCAGACATCACATGGACACCATCTCCCCACCCGAATGCATCCATGGCTACAAGGAGGGAGCAGGGTTCCCGGGCAGATGGGGATACCTTAAGTGGCCAGAGTATTTGCAGCCGTAGCCCCAACAGTAGCTACAACTGACCAGCTTTCCATGCATCCAGTCTCCATCCATTTTCCACAGAGCTGCAAAAGTGACTAGATCACTGCAGAATTCTGCCACTGCCCTCCTTCATCCCAGGACAAAATTCTAAATACTCTAAGGCTGCTCTTTAAGGTCTATGCATGCTTTAGCTCCCTGCAGTGTTGACAGCCCATTTCCTACCCACAATATGCCCATCCTACTTGATCATCTGATGTAGAATTATCTGATGTTCTAAGTCGGGATAGTGGGCTTTTTCCACTTTCTTTATCTTTGCACAAGAACATCTGGAATTCCTGCCATCGAATCAAGCCATCCCCCCAACACACACAGCTTTCTGGCAAACCCTCCTACTCCTCTAGTGCCCACTCAATAGTCACCGCCTCTCTGAAGACTTCCTGGCTTGCTCAGGGTTATCCTCCTCTACACTATAATCCCCTCTATTATGGTGCACTGTAATTGTTCCTCCTCTCGTCCTTCTTAGTCCCAGGAGCTCCTCCAACGCCCTTCTTCCCTTCTTCGTGCTGCTTGGGCTTACTTAAGCACAGGGTCTGGCACACAATAGGAGCCCCATAAACGCTGAATAAATACACGGGGCTCTGTGTCAAGAGCTGCTGTCTCTCCTAGCCAGGCCCGGGAAACCACCGCTCTGAGATGTTTCTCCTGCGTCCCAGGATGACTGGGCATAGGAAATGGCAAGACAAATCTGAACCCTAACCCCAGGGCAACAGGTCACGAGGGTCTGAGGACCTAGGCAGAGCAGAAATCCGCCGCTGCGGTCCCTGACTCCCCGCAAGCTCTTCCCGGGCCCTGGCGCTGAGTGAAGACAATCTGAGGAGCCGCTACCCTGAGCCCCTCGGGCTCCCAGTCGTTCAGCCGTTCAGACATTCCCCGCACTTGGACTTGCCAGTCCCAGCGTCGGGCCCTGGGGCCGCACGGCAGCAGCGAGGGGAGGAAGCGTGGTGTGCCGGCTCCTCGCCCCGCTCCCCGGCCCCTCAGCGTCCGCATCCCGCGGGCACCCAGCCTGAGCGCCCGGGGACGACACCAGTAGTCTCGGCCGAGGGGTTGAGGGGGGACTCCCTGCTGCCAGACACCCTACAAAGTCTACTTCGCTGCGGCGCTCTGCTTACCGTGGGAGCCACCAGGTACCCAGAGCCGGGTGGGTGTCTTGGCCACTGGGCCCGCCCGCGGATCCTCTCCCGCGCCGGGAGCTCAGCCTCCGCAGCCCACCGCGCGCCAGCGTCTCCTCTCGGCCGGCCTCCCCGCGCCGCGGCACCCTATTGGCCGCGGCAGCCAGGCCACTCCCCCAGCCGGCTCCGCCCCCGGAGGCCCCGCCCCTGTATCGCTTTCCGCCTCACTGAACCAGCGGGCTCCTGGAATCTCCACTCAGGGAAAGTTGCTTCTAAACTCAGCTCTCACCCGGCTCAGGCAGCCGAGTAAGGTAATAGGTCTCCATCCCAAGAGAGTCTAGACGTGCCCTGGGGAGGGCGTAGAGTGCGGCGGCCTCGGAAGCTGGCTTTGATAAAGTCACCTGATCGCCCTAGAGCTCAGGAGGCGCCTCTGAGAAACCTGTCAGGACACTGTCACAAATGTCTTAGGCAGTATGCCGGTCATTTAACACCAAGGATGCAACAGGGAACGAGACAAAGTCATCTGTTGCCCTCATGGAGTTTGCGTGGGGGGAGGGTGAGGGCAGGCCATATGCAAACAAACAAGGAACATAATGTCAGCTTGTTAACATAGTTATAGGGAAGGGAGTGATTGTAAATAAGAAAGGGGGCCAGGGATGCTATAAATGGGATGGTCTCCAAGGCCACTTTGAACTAGGAGCGGAAAGATAAAAGTGGTTCTGAGGTTGGAACTGGAGATGAGGATGGTTGAGCGTGGTGACCAAGGGGAAAGTGAGCGAGGCCAGGGCAGTGACCAGAGCTGAATCACTCTGGGCCACGTGAGGAGCTTCGGTTCTGTCTTAAGTACAAAGATGAGCCGTTGAAGGGTTAGAAGGCGTCTATGACAGTGGTAAAAGACCACTTTGTCTGTTGTGTGGAGAATGGATTTTGGAAGAGAAGGGAAGCAGGTAGACCAGTTTGAAGTTGTCTTGGTCTGCTCAGGCTGCCATAAAAAAAATAATACCATTGGCTGGGTGGCTTAAACAATAGACATTTACTTTTCCACAGTTCTGGTGACTACAAGTCCAAGATCAAGGTGTCAGCACTGTCAGTTCCTGGTGAGGGCCCTCTTCCTGGCTTACAGACTGCTGCCTTTCCCCGTGTCCTCTCATGATGGAGAGAGAAAGAGAGCCAGCTCTCTGGCATCTCTTTTTCACAGGGCACTAATGCCATCCTGAGGTCCACACCTCCATGACCTCACATAAACCTAATTACCCCTCAAAAGCCTCCTCTCCAAATACCATCACATTGTGGGGTGAGGCTTCAACATATGCATTTTGGGGGACATAATTCAGTCTATACCAAGAAGATAATTCAGAAGTCCAGAGATGATGGCAACTTAGACCAAGGTGATGACCACAGGGATGGGGAAAGTGAACCAACTGAAATGTATTTTGAGAATATCATGGAAAGCCTTGATGATGGGTGGGATTTAGAGCATGAATGAAGAATGATTCCTGGGCGTTTAGCTTGAGCCACCCATGGGATGATGGTGCTATGACCAACGTGAGGAAGACTAGGGAGGAACAGGTTAGAGTCAGAGGGAAATTAAAGGCTCCAATGTAGACATTTGAGAGACCTATTTGACATCCTACAACAACAGTGCCAGGCTCTCTTCAAATTGTTATATATATATATATATTAACTATTTATTTATATAGAATTCTCATAATAACTTTATGGTGAAAATGTACCCTCACTATCCCCATATTACAGATGAGGAAATGAAGACACTGAAAGATTAAGCAACTTGCCCAAGGTATGTTCACAACCTGGGGAATCCCAGGGCAAAGGGCTGGGGTGGGGGGAGTATTCAAAACTGGCCCCATACACAGAGAGTAAGGAGAGATAGAAGAGAGAGGCATACCACTCCAGATTGGTAGGTGGCAGGTTTAATAAGCAAGGGAACTTACATATGAGGCTTGTCTTGGGCGGCCAAAACACAGTAGATCTCTGCGCTCACCCACCAGAATCTTAACAGTTTATATAGAAGCCTTAACTGGTTTCAGTCACATACTCAGTCCAGATGGTTTCAACAACACGTTACTCTCTGGAGGTTGCATCTTTGAAACTGCTCCATATATGGGAACAGTGGGTGGAATATACTTTCCAAGGACAGGGGAGGGTGTGAGGAGCCTCTGATTGCTGAGACCAGCTCTTAGATCAACTACTGGTGCTGTTCTCTTGATGACCTGCTCCAGTAGTGGGTGGTTGGATACACAAGTTTAGATAGAGCTCAGGCAAGAGCCTGGGGCCAGAGATATGCATTAAGAAGTACCCTGGCCTGAGTCAGTATAAGACCACCTGGAGAAAGTGTGTAGTGGGTGAAGAGAGAAGAGGCAAGGACTGAGCCCTTGCAAAGTTCTCTTCCAACATTTCCACTTACCACCTGATCCTTAGCAAGTGACCTCAGTCAATATGAGGAAGTGACCCAAGTTCAGTAGCTAAGAGGGAATAAGGCTAGCTCAAGGATCACAAACTCTAATCCTATTGGGAATAGGCAATACTATAGCAAGTGAGGTTGGCAAGGTGCGCTAGAACAGGGAGGGGTGGGGGCTGTGGCCCACTAAGGTGTGCACACTTGCCCAAGTGGGCAATGGACTCAGCAACAACTGATTTTTGCTGTATGGCAATATGGACCCTGAGTTCCCAGATGATCTCATTTTTATTAAAGAGCCAGGAAATCCGATTATGTCAAATCTCTAGATTTTTTTAACGTTGGCAATTAATTTAAAAAAAATATTTAAAAGACTGTGTGGGCCAAGACTGTTAGAAGGAGTCAAATCCATATATGGGCTATGGTAGCTCATTTGGCTGCTACTTTCCAACTCTGGGTTAGATAATACCTCAGGTCCCCTTAAGAAGTTCCTCACAGTTTCTGTTCAGACACAGATGGCGACAATAGTAGCACATAAAAAGATCAAGGAAATCTCAACTTGGAAACCCAGCATAGTCTTTCACAGTGTTTGGCTAGCTTCTGCCTCTACTCAAATAGTACAGCATTTCTAAGCATCAGTTTCTCTTACCTGTAAAAACAGGAGGTCAGAGCAGAGCTCCTCCAAGATTCCTCCCAATTCTATTTGAAGTTATAACAGTAGTGTTTTTTTTTAATTGTGTGTTCTCAAATATGCTCAGGGAAATTGCTTGGGAAAAAATGGAAAGGGTATTCTTGTCTGGGTGTGCAAATTCAAAATGCCTTCCTAGTAAGGAAAGGAACAGAGTGAATTTAAGATAAGAAACCATGCAAATTATGGCATGGAATTTTCTTTATTGCACTATGAATAAGAAAAAAGGCAATTAAGTAGATGCAGGCACACTTAATGGTTTCTATTGAAAATTCAATGTATAATAGCCAGTTCTCCATATATATCACTAAAGGCTTTGCAATAATGAGATTCTCTGTCATGTATTGGAGGTCAGCTGTATCCTAGCATTATTTATTCTCATGTGCTGAGCTTATGTAATGAAAATAGGCTGAGAATAGTTAATCACCATCCACTGAGTCAGTCCCTTTTGTCCACACTTGAGATATTGTTGAAAGCTGAGAAACAGCTTATGATTTTACAAATCACTGAGTTTTGTGTAGGAGTGAACGTAGGGTTGGGAGCCAGAAGACCACATGCACTTGTTGAATAACCTCTTTCAACCTTCTTCATTAGTTAAATGAGAACTGGATGAACGGTGACTTCCTAGAAGATATTTGTATTTATACCTCCACATTTCTCTGGGTGGAATTTTTCACTGTGTGGAGACCTGGTAATTCCCAGGGTGAGATTTTTCCACCATTTTCTACCTCCTAGTTCCTCAGTATCCTGGAAGCAGAGACGACACCTAAGTTGGGCCAATTAGACTCACTGTTGGGACTTCATCCTCCAGAAAGTGACAAGGATGGAGAGAGAGAGAGAGAGAGAGAGATTGGCCATGGAATTGATCAGGATGGTGGTGACCACAGCAAGAACATCCTGAAGAGGCTGGACCTGTGGTTCTGCTTGCTCATGAATCTCATTAGCTAACCTCTAGAATTTCCTAGGTTTCTGCCAGTGTCTCAAGCCTGTCCCCCATCCAATTTTATTTTGTTAATCTCCCATCTCTACTAAACTCCCTTCTGTTAGCAGGCCAAATTATTTCTCTTGCTTTTAACCAAGGGTCTCAATGGATCCAATGAGAAAAAAACATGCATCCTGGGACCCTGTCCCTGGGGAACAAATTCAGAGCAGGAATTTGCATATACATGAATGCATACACAGTGATAGGTATGCATAGTCTCTCACCCCTCAGTAAGAAGTCCAACCCCACGAGGTAGTTGTGGTTCAGGTTTTAAAAGGTGTTTATTTTTTATAAGAGCCCAGATGTGCCATTCATAACAGATCTTTAAAAAAAAAGTGATCAAGCCCTTGTGATAAGAATTGTAAAATAAGCCTTCTAATATGTAAATTTGGTAGTTGGCAAAGTCCTTTCACAAGAATTTACTCATTTCAACTGACTCCTGTGCAGTAGGCAGATTAGATAGTATTTATGATTTCTACAGTATACTGATAAATAGCTGTCATTCATTGAACAATTTCTGCAGACCGAGCATTATGCAAAATGCTTTATATACCCATTCACCAACCCTGTTAAGGAGATATTATCCCCATTCATGCAGAAACTGAGGCTTGCATAGTTTATATACATAATATACATAGTTGAGGTGAGAGCTCACCTCACACACATACAGCTTGGTGTCAGGTAACACAGCTAGTGAATGACAAACCTGACAATGGAACCCAGGTCCAGAGTCAGGAATTTGGCTGTAGCTGCTCATACTTGCCAACAACAGCAGACTTGATTCAGTTGTCCATCCATGGAGATATTTTTAAGGTCATAAGAAAGATCTTCTCATTTTTTTCCCTTTCTGTTTATCATGGTGCCTCAAATCTGCATGAAGATGAATTGCTAGTGCAAATGCAAGTATGCCTGTGAGTGGTTAAATGCTAAGTTTAATCAGATGAAGAAGTAAAAGGGCTCCATCCAGA